GATGCAGTATACCACATTAGCAGATGTGCAGGTGAACATCTGCTTGATGTGTAAAGTCTTCTTGGGGCCTGGGATGGGTGTGAGGGGGGAGGTGTAGGGGCAGGTGTAGCACTTCCTGCGGTTGCAGGGAAAAGTGCCGGGTGTGGTGGGGCTGGAGGGGAGTGTGGAGCGGACAAGGGAGTCAGGGAGAGAGTGGTCCCTCTGGAAAGCAGATAAGGGTGGGGAGGGAAAAATGTCTGTGGTGGTGGGGTCGGATTGCAGATGGCAGAAGTATCGGAGGATGATGCATTCCAAGTCAGGATGATTTTAGTTTGAAGGGACACGTGAAGTAAGTAGTACATATTTCTGCTGTCCCTGCCCTTTTAGATAGCAGAGACTATTGATTTTGAAGGTGCTGTTGAAGGAGGATTGTTGAGATGCTGAAGTGCATCTTGTATATAATGCATTCTGCTGCCACCGTGCATCAATGAGAGAGAGAATTAATGTATAACGTGGTAGATGGGATGTAAGTTAAGTGGGCTGCTTTTCCCCGGGAGTATTCAGTTGTTGTCCTCCACATAGGCACTAATAACAATGATAGGATATTAAAAATGTTCGACTGAAAGAATTTGAATATTTGCAGCTAAATTAAAAAGCAGAACCTCCAACGGGGTCATTTTGGGATTACTACCTGTGCCAGGGGCAAACTGGCATAGGATAAATAAAGTCAAGGATTTAACTGTGTGGTTCAAAGGTTGATGTGGGAGGAATAGATTTCAGTTCATGAGACACTGGCACCAGAACTGGGGTAGAAGGAAGCTCTTCAGCTGGGATTGGCTTCACTTGAACTGTGCTGGGACCAGCTAGACTGTAGAGAGGCCTTTAAACTACATAAATGGAGAGTGGTAGGATTCCAGAGAGGGAACACATAGGCTCACAAAGCAAAAGGATATGGCAGCATTGCAGGGCAGCAATTTAGATAATGATACCCGGAGTGGGACAGGAAGGGACAGAGTGTACAGACAAAAATAAACAACAAATAGGATCAACGAGAGAAGATTGATAGAAAGGTAAAATGAATGGCTCTTTACTGAAATGTACATAGCATTTAAAACAACATAAACAAATTAACAGAGAAGCAGAGGTCTGATCAGCATAAGAATCATCATAGTAGATCCTGTGAACAGGGACCAATTGAACTGCTTTCCCAATATTTGCCTCCACCCATAACACCTATTTCTACTTCGTCTCTATATTGGTCTGTGTGTAAGTGTATAAGTTTATAAATGGTGAGAATTTTAATTAGTAGAGTCATATGCTGACAGTTCATAATTGTTTACCTATAGCCAGAGGCGAAGTACTTGTAACAAACAGTAATTCTTATTAAATACGGAAACCTGGTCCATGTTTTTTTTAATCTGGGTCTGAAAGTCAGGACAATTTGGGAATTATATGTGTTTTTAAAAAAGTATTTAACTTTTTTAACTATTCTGGGAATAGCCACACTTGATTTCCAGTGTGCTGTCCCAGTGAGGTGTGATGCATTATTTCATTGACTGATGGAGCAGACTCAAATATCTGAATTCTTCTCACATTTTGTTTTTTTGGAGCTCCACACATCCAAGCAAGTGGAGACTATACAATCAGACTCTAGTTTTGTGCCCTGTCGACAAATGACAAGTATGGAGAAATCGAGAGATGAGTTGCTTGCCAAAGAATTCCCAGCCTCTAACCTGCACTTATGGCCATGTGGTATCCATAGCATGCTGAGGACACAAAGTGACATCGAATCGATCAACTCTATACCACTAGATCATATTGCGTTTAGATTGGTTGTGGACTAATTGATGAAGATTGATTGCTTTGCTCAAGCAACAACTCCATTAGTGTTTTACAATGTGACAATCAGGCTTGTCAACAGGTTGCTCTTGATCTATTCCTATTACGTAGTAGGGAGTACTGAGAGTAATACAATACATTTTTAAGTCATTATTCTACATTGTTTTCAATTTGAACCTGATTATTATATTTCTCTGGGGTCAGTGGTGAAATAAAGTGGTAGTGCCATACCTTAATATTAAAATACAGGTGTTCCCAGAGAAAGAAGTACAATACCTGTTCGTTCTAAAAGTGTTAAGCCATGAAGAAAAAGTTTATTTGTACAAAATAAGGTATGACTTTCTCAAAAAATATTGATAATGAAACAAGTACCATTTTGTCACCTCTCCACTGGTGCAGATAAACTAATCTGTTGCGATCAATGGTTACAATGATAATTTTAAAGATATATTGAAGATGAGGAGAGATGTAAAGAAGGGGGAGTTTTCAAGCATTCTAGAGTGTGGAGCCATGGCAGCTGAACCAAAAAAAATAGAATCTTACATCACAGTGTGTTGCATCAGGCTGCTTCATCCAGCTAGCCTGTTCTTTCCTTATACTTCCCCTTCTCCCCAAATTCTTCCACTTCAAACAGAATAATAGATTAATAGAGATACATAGCACGGGAACAGATTCTTTGGCCCAACTTGTCCAAGCCAATCAGATATCCCAAATGAATCTAGGCCCATTTGCCAGGTTTTGGCCCACATCCCTCTAAACCCTTTCTATTCGTATAACCATCCAGATGAATTTTAAACCCACCACTTCCTCTGGCAGTTCTTTCCATACATGCACAACACTTTATGTGAAAAAGTTGCCCCTTAGGTCCCTTGCATATATGTCCCTTCTCACCTTAAACACACACTCCCTAGGTTTGAACACCCCTACCTTGGGGTAAAGACCTTGTCTATTTACCCTATCCATGCCCCTCATGATTTTATAAACATGTATAAGGTCACACCTCATCCTCCGATGCTCCAGGGAAAATAGCCCCAGCCTATTCAGCCTCTCCCTATAGCTCAAACCGTCCAACCCTGGAAACTTCCTTACAAATCTTTTCTGAACCCCTTCAAGTTTAACTGTATCTTTCCTGTAACAGGGAGACCAGAACTGAATGTACTTTTCCAAAAGTGGCCGAACCAACGTCCTGTACAGTTGCAACATGGCCTCCCAACTCCTATTCTCAATGCACTGATGAATAATGGCAAGCATACCAAACACCTTGTTCACTGCCCTGTCTACCTGCAACTCCTATTTATTCAATTCCATTTCAAGAGTATTATTGAGCCTGTGATCAAACGGACCTAAGCGTGCAGGTACATAATTCTTTAAAGTTTGTGTAGACAGCATGGTTAAAAAGGTGTTTGGCACGCTTGCCTTCATTGCTTAGTCCTTTGAGTATAGGATTTGGGACATTATGTTGAGGTTGTACAGGACTTTGGTGAGGCGTCTTCTGGAGAACTGTGTCCAGTTCTGGTCGCCCAGTCATAGGAAGGATATTATCAAGCTGGAGAGGGTTCAGAAGGGATTTACCACGAAGTTGCCAGGTATGGAAGGATTTTGAGTTATAAGGGAAGGCTGGATAGGCTTGGACATTTTTCACTGGAGCGTAGGAGGTTGAAAAGTGACATGGTAGAAGTTTATAAAATAATGAGAGGTATAGGTAGAGTTGATGGTATTGTCTTTTCCCTAATATGAGGAATTTTAAGACTAGGGGACACATTTTTAAGGTGAGAGGAAAGGAATTTAAAAAAGACATGAGACAAATTTTTTACACAGAGGGTGATTCGCATGTAGAATGAACTTCCTGATGAAGTGGTGGATGTGGGTAAACTTACAATATTTAAAAGACCTTTGGATGGATATAAGAATAGGAAAGGTTTGGACGGATATGGGCCAAGAGCAGGCAGGTGGGACTAGTTTCGTTTAAGATTATGTTCGGCATGGACTGGTTGGACCAAAGGGTCTGTTTCTGCGCTGTATGACTCAATGACTCTAAATTCCTAACCACTTGATGCACTAAAATAATTTTCCTCTGCTCAGTCTGGTTCTATTGTAAATTACCTGAAACCAATGTGCCCTTTGGTTACTAACCCTTCAATCATTGTCAACAGTTTCTCTCTCATTGATCTATCTAAACTCTTCATGATTTGGGGCACCCCTACCAAGCCTCTTGGCCTTCATTGATCTAAAGAGACCAATGTCAGTTTCTCCGGTATAACCACGTAACTGTAATCTCTCATCCCTGGATGCG